GTGTCAGCCAGGATGGTCTCGATCTCCTGACCTCGTGATCCGCCCGTCTCGGCCTCCCAAAGTGCTGGGATTATAGGCTTGAGCCACCGCGCCCGGCAGGTTCCTGGGGATTTTCTATACATAGGATCATGTCATGTGCAAATTCTTCCTTCTGATTTGGATGAATTTTATTTCTTTTTCTTGCCTAATTGTTCTCACTAGAAATTCTAGTTCAATGTTGAATAACAATGGTGAAAGCAATCATCCTTGTCTTATTCCTGATTTTAGAGGGAAAGCTTATAGTCACTTTACCCCTGAGTATGAAGTATGAACATCATTGTCATGAACCATTGCTGTGGATTTTTCATAGTGCCCTTTTCTTTCTTTTAAATATTCAACATTCTTCTGAGTGGAGTTAACTAGAAAACTTTAAAGAAGCTAATTTAAAGTTTTTACTAGTTTATGGGACATAGTCTCAAAATTGAGAACAGAAGAAACATCCACATAGTTACAATTTTTGTCCTTAGGGCTTACATGGGCAAGAATATACAGAAAGCATTTATGGAAAATGAGTTAAAAGGAGACAAGACTTTCAGAACTCACTGAATAGAAGGTTCCACTTGTTTATTTGGCTTTACTCTCTAAACTGTTGGAGTTGACAATTAATCCCCTTCTAAGGCTTTACTTTTTGTCACTGGCTTGTAAAACTGGAAAATTTGCCCAGATTAAGCCTTTTGATGTTTTATTTTGTGTTAATTTCTTTCTTGATTTGAGATAAATGTTTATAAACATCAACTGGTTTTTGTTTCTGAGGCCTACACTAGAGGAAAGGACCGTAATTACTAATGTTGCATCAGAAGTTGCTCAGACAAATGGAAACTTTTTCTTTTCTTATAAAAGTGGAAGTGCCCCTAGTGTTAGAATGTACATTATTCTTGCATTTGGTAAAGTGTTCTATTGTCTTTTTTGTAGGCATTTTAATGACATTCAGATAGGTTTTATGCAAAATATTTATGGTAGGCCGGATCTTAAAAATATTTTTTTGCAAGGAGTCAGGAGGTGATTACCTTTCCAAGTAATTTCAGGAATTTTCAGTTTTCCTAAATATTTATAGGAAGAAAGCCAGGTTCTATTAGAATATTTTGTCTCCACAAGTCTTGCCAATCCCTCCTACCTGCCCCCCACCATACCTTGTAATGGAACATTTTGTGCCATGCATTAGATGAAACTTTTAAGTCACAGTGATGAGGAAGAAAAAAGATTGGCTGTGGATAGTGTGTTGCAACTATTTTTGCATTAAATCATAATTGCGCCTTTCTATCTTCTCTGGAGTTGAAAATAAAAAGAAATGATTTGTTGAATATAGTTGATATTTGTGTACCATGTATCCATGGCCTCACTAGTCAGGGGAGAGCGGATTTCCATCTTGGAAAATAGTTTGTCTGGAGTGAATGTTTCTGATTAATTCATTATGTGTATATGACAATTATATGTGTATGATAGTTACATATGTTAGACAATTATATGTGTCTAACTATATTACATATATAACTACCATATGACAGTTACATATGTTATACATGAAGACATATATATGTGTGTGTATACATATATAAAAAGTTCAGAACAAGGTTGTATGCTTCTTATAGTAAAAGGAATCTGAATCTGTTATGTTCTTTTAAGTTAGTGTCATTGGGATAAAGAGAGCAGTTAGACGGAAGAGAACCTGGTAGGCTTAAAAGCCACCTGATTCTCCTGATTTGGGTCACCCGTATCTGGAATATCCTCTTTAATTTGGTTATCAACATGTTTTTTCATCCCTTTATTTCTTCTCTAATTCCTTATAATCTTGATAATTAATGAACCTAAACAAAGAGTTTTTGTGTTGATTTCTTCAGTGACATAAAAATTAACCTACTTCTGTGGATGGATAAATGAACATGGATGCGTTCTATGGAGCAGAGTCTACCAAAATTATTATTTTTTAATCATCTGAAGCACATTGTGCTGTTGGATTGACCATTTTCCTCAGTTGTTTTAACTGTTTACAGGGAATGAAGATGAGTGGGCAACAGGTTGTGGTTGCTAGAGTTCATGACTTCACCATTATCTGCAGTCTGAATATTGGCTCTGAAGGTTCTGAAACCTGGTTTCCTAGTTTTATGCGGTGCTCATGACTTAATTTATACCAGTGAAATTTATAAGGGATTGATTTTCAAAACCCAAAGGGTTGTTTGTTAATTTACATGGGCAGTGGACCTTTCCAGTCTAATTTGCTGTTTGGATTGTTTTTGTGTTCGTATCTGAGTATCAAACAACATCTTACCAATAATAAGAAAGCTGTGTAGTGTGTTAATGACTTTGCAGCTATGAAAATACATGTGTAAAAGAAAAACTCATAATCAGGGAAGAAGGCAAATGTTATACCTGGTTCAATAGAAAAGTAATATAACCCACAAATTTATATGGAGTAAAGAAATGTTGAAATGGACCCAAATGGAGACAAAACTGGTTTGTTGGGGAGGGAGAGCTGGGGAGAGGCCCAGGAGGTCAACTGAACCTCCTGCCTGACAGGATAGAATTTACATGTCCCTCAGTTAACCTATAGCCTACAGAGTTGTAAAATAGCTCCCATCAAACAGAATCTGATAAAGTGTAGAGCTGTGCTATAAATCATGCCTAGTTTTCCATCATGTTTTTCTCTACATATTACTGTGAATTGCCGTAAGTGGGGATTAAAATATTTTTTTTTTAATTTGAGAGACAGGGACTTGCTATGTTGACCAAGCTGGACTTGAACTCCTGGGTCCAAGTGATCCTCCTGCCCCAGCCTTCTGAGTAGCTGGGAATACAAGCATGTGCCACAGATATTTGAGTACAGTTCTGGATCCTCTTTGAGCATGATGAGGTTTTAAAATTGTACCATTACCTGGTTAATGAATGAACAGTTTTAATGATTTGGTTTTAAATAATTTAACTTTTTTTTTTAATAGGACCTCACTCTGTCACCCAGGCTGGAGTGCAGTGGCACAATCTCGGCTCATGGTAGCCTTTACCTCCTGGGTTCACGTGATCCTCCTGGCACAGCCTCCTGTATAGTTGGGACCACAGGTGTGCGCCACCAAACATGGCTAATTTTATAAAAATTTTTTGTAGAGATGAGGTCTTATTTTGTTGCCCAGGCTGGTCTGGAACTCGTAGACTCAAGCAGTCCTCCCACCTTGGCCTCTGAAAGTGCTGGGATTACAGGCATGAGCCACCACACCTGGCCTTAGATTTGTTAGTTATACACAAATCCAGGTTCAGATTTACCTTGCTAGCCTTTTTTTGTGTGTGTGTGTGACACAGGATCTCACTGTTGCCCAAGCTGGAGTGTAGTGTAGTGGCACAATTATAGCTCGTTGTAGCCTTGAACTCCTGGGCTCAAGCGATTCTCCTGCCTCAGCCTTCCAAGCAGCTGGGATTACAGGCATGTGCCACCACCACTGCCTAATAAAAAGTTTTTTGTAAAGGTAGGGTCTCACTGTGTTGCCCAGGCTGGTCTAGAACTCCTGGGCTCAAGTGATACTTCTGTTTCAGACTCCATAGTTCTGGGATTACAAAATTGAGTCATGGTCCCTTACTAGTCTTATAGAAACTTATAATTTTCTTTTTGGCACTGGGTCTTTTTTTGGATAGCTGGTGGTGACTTGGAGGCTGGCTGCAAGGGGCAGTATTAAATGTAATCTGGTACTGTATGGTTTTTTTTTTTTTTGGTAAACAAGTAACCATTGAAATTGTATACAATTATTGGGAGGCTATATAATGGGGTTGGAAAGAGTCCCAGCCCTGTGTTAATCTGTATTACTGACCTATACAACAGCATTTGCAGTTACTGTGATTTTCGACCTAATTTGTCAGAATCTTCATTTTAATTCATTCTGAACATTTTAATGCATGTTTAAATAGAATAAGTTTTAAATTGGCATGCCTGTTTTATACAACTCAGCCCAGTATTTTTCTTTTAGCCAGAATAAATGTTGAATGATTCCTTCCTTTTAGTGATGATTTCTGATATAGTTTCTCCTAATATGTGATGCCCTCTAGTGAATTCAGCCTTGCAGAAATATTTTGAGAAGCAGTAGTCAGTGTAATGAAATCTCAAGGAACATTCTAATAATTAGAACTATTCCTTTATGCTTTGTTGAGATGCAAGTTTCTGTCGCTGTAAGTGTTCAAGCAAAGATGTGATAATCCCCTATGAGTCTTATTGTTGAATGGAGTGAAACTTCTCCAGATGACTTCTAAAGTCTTCTTCAGCTTCGTGGTTCTAGCTTCCATATAAACCAGTAGTCCTCAGCCAATAAATATTGAACATTCACTGGGCCTTAAGCACTGTCCTGGAGGGTTGTGAGGGTTCCAAAGGTAGTATAGGTCATAGATGTGATTTCAAATAACTAATCAAGAGGATAAAATAATAGTAGCTAACCTGTATTGAACATTTACTCTGTTCCTAGAGCTGCTGAAGACAGTTACTTTGTCATTTAATCCTCACAATAGTCTTTAAGTAGCTACCACTTTTAGTCCAATTTATTTTTGTAGATATTGGGGCCACTGAGGTTAAATAATTTGCCCAAGCTCACACAGTAAGTGGTGGAACCAGGACTAGTTTATGTAAAATAATAGTGGATAGGAGGTGAATGGCAGGCCAGCGATCAAAGTTTCATCTGTCTTTACAGCCACTCCACATCACTTGCATTATCGCCTGAATTCCACCTCCGCTCAGATTCGTCACCACTGCATTCGATTCTTACAGGAATGCAGACCCTGTAACTGTGCATGCAGGGGATCTAGGTTGCATGCTCCTTAGGAGAATATAATGCCTGATGATCTGTCACTGTCTCATATCCTCCACTCCTCCAGATAGGACCATCTAGTTGCAGGAAAACAAGCTCAGGACGCCCGTCGATTCTACCATTATGGTGAGTTGTATAATTATTTCATTATGTATTACAGTGTGGTAATAATAATAGAAATAAAGTACACAATAAATGCACCGGGCTTGAATCATCCTGAAACCACCCCTGCCCCTGCCGCTGCTCTCCATGGAAAAATTGTCTTCTGTGAAACCAGTCCCTGGTGCCAAAAAGCCTGGGGACTGCTGGTTTACAGGCTGTCAGCTCTCTGAGGGTGTATTTAGTTGTCTGTATTAAGCTAGCTCAAATTACTTTTGGATACCTCTTTACATTGTTACACTTAAGTGTATGATTCTCATATTAACTTCAGTCACAGAAGTGATAGTTAATAATTTGTACATAAGTTTGGCAGTTCATTTTAATTTTTGGCCCGTAAGGTATTTTACTTACTGTGAAGACTTACTTGATAAAATGACACAGTCTTATCTTCTTTTTCCTTTAAAACATCCATTCTTTGAGGTTTAGTGAATCAACTCCTCATTCCTATGCCTAAGAATCCTTTGAGGGCATTTATGACTTGTAAGTGTCTTTTGATTTTCAGAGACATTTACCGTGCTCTTTATTGGATTTTAAGGCTAGGGTAGCTGTTGTTCTTTTAGTTTTTATCACCTAGACTGAATAGAAATCGATTTCTCCATTTGCAGGTAAATTAATTTCATCAAATTAGAGCTAGCCTTTTGATGCCTTGCATTGTACCTGTTTGTGGTGTATTCAGGTCAGTGCTTGTTGTATGGAGAAAATATAGAATACATCTTCAGTCTAATTACTGGAAAGATAATGTGAGCCTTAAAGAAGAAAGGAATATTATATTGTGGTATATAAGGTAGATTGTTCTCATTTCTGGAAACCTTTTTGGTGTCCATTTATGAAATGGTTTATTTGCTCCAAAGTATCTGTATATAGCCTCTAATGGGTACACAACTAAGTCACAGATTGTGACCCCAATGGCCTGAACACCCCTTAGTCTTCATCTCTCCCTGATTTCACTTCTGCGCATACCTAAAGACTTGATGTTATCAACATATCACTTTATCTTTCCATTTAGGCTATCACTGAGTAATGAGAAGGAATGTGAGAAGAAATTAAATTGGAGACTTTCCTAGTGAAAGGGGAGAGACTCAGAGGTGCCCAGCCTAGGATTTTAAGAAGTCTAGAAAGATTGAGCAGGGCTCTCGAGAAGAATATTTTAATGCAAGTAGGAGGTTAGGAAAATCCTGCCTGACTCCATGCCCGTTTTGGTAAAAACAGACCAACTTTTTAAGACTTCTTGAAATTTTACTATTTTCCTTCTATTTTTCTAATTTCTCTCTCTCCCCCCAGAAAGTTTCTCTAGCAGTGAAAAATCTCAAAGAGTTATTATTTAAGGGATAGGAATTAAGGAATTCTGTGGTCTGAATTCTGTGGCCCAGGATTTGGGAACATAAAGTCAAAAGTGTTAGTGAGGGGTTAAAAAAAAAAAGGCATAAGCCAGTTACAGAAGCATTTGGAACTGGGCCTCCCACACTTTAGGAGTTAAAACAAGAGATTGAGGTGTTAGGAGATAGTTTTATAAATCATTATTTGAAGTTAAGCATTTATTCATAGTGGTTAAAGACTGTGTTGTTATTAGTGCTATTTTCAGGTACATTTTTGTGAAGTTGGCTTTTGTAGGCTGACCTGAAAACCTAATCACTTTGTATAATGTAATTTTTTGGGAAAATGCATCTGAATTCCAAACAGCTGATTTAAATGCAGAGTTTTAGAATGCTACCTGCTCATAAGTTGGGACTGTTGTCTCTGTTCATATTTTGATAGAATTCCCAATTTGGTTCATTTCTAATCTGGGGAACAAAATTTTATTTGACTGTAGAGGAGGTAAATCTCTATAGAATAGTTACATGTATAAAAATAAGTTACTTCTTAGCTGAGTGTGGTGGTGTGTGCCTATAGTCCTAGTACTTGGGAGGCTGAGACGGGAGGATCACTTGAGCCCAGGAGTTTGAGGCTGCGGTGAGCCATGATTGTGCCACTGCACTCCAGCCTGGATGACAGAATGACAGCCTGTCAATAAATAGGTAGGTAAGTAGGTAGCTAGATAGATTTGAAAAACCAGACATAGACACACATACACAAATAAAGTAACTTTCATAACCAGAAACTACAGTAATCTTTGGCATAGTATTTGTAACCTAAGACTTGGTTTTATATTGTGCAATAATTTAAAAAATCTTTAGGTTAAGATTCAGATGGACTTGCAGACTTGTGTTACATTGTAAAAGGGGAATCAAGCCTCCTGGGATATACTTGGTTGCCCAATTGCTGTGTTTCTTTAAGTATTTTTTCCCTTTTAGGGCCTTTGTTTCTTCATCTACAAAATAAGAATGTTTGTAATGGCATTATTCATATAGCTCAAACTTGAAAAATACACAGATGTCAAACAGAATAAATACATTTTGGGATATTTATACAGTGAAATACCGTACAGCAATGAAAAAGAAGAAACCATTTTGGCACTTACTTATATGGGTGACTCTCACAGACATGTTGAATAAAAGCAGCCAGATGCAGTAGAGTATACACTTTTTTTTGAGACAGGGTCTCATTCACTCCTCCAGACTAGACTACAGTGGTGCGATCATAGCTCTCTGCAGCTTCCAACTCTGGGGTTCAAGTGATCCTCCTGCCTCAGCCTCTCAAGTAGTTGGGACCACAGGCGCACGTTGCCATGCCCATCTATGGAGGATCGCTCAAGCGATCCTCCCATTTTGGTAGAGATGGGATCTCACCATGTTACCCAGGCTGGTCTAGAACTTCTGGGCTCAAGCAATCCTTCTGCCTCAGCCTCCCAAAGTGCTGCGATTATAGGTGTGAGCCACCACACCTGGCTGTGTATATGTTTGTTAATTCCATTTAGATAAAGTTAAAAGACAGGTAAGACTAATGATGGTCATATAATTCAGAATTGTGGTTACCAGTGGAGTAGTTAATTATTGGGAAGGGACATGCAAGAAGGAGGCTTCTGGGTTGCAGGCAGTACTCTGTCTCAGTCTGGATATATTGACTTGTAAAAATATTGAGTCATATACTTAGGGTTTGTACATTTTACTGAACCCTACAGTTTTAAGAAGGCTGAAAGTATGTACCAAAATGAAACACAAAAAAGAAGAAAGTAAAAGAAACAAAAGATTGACTGGATTGGGAGCCAGGAAAACTGAGATCAGACTTCAGCTCCACCACTAAACATCTGTGATTTTAGGTAACTCATTGACCTCTTTGCCTTAGTGATTGTATCTGTAAAATGGAAATAATCCCTGCCTTCTGTATTTCAATTAGGGTAAACACTTTCATCCTTTTATACTGCATTTCATTACATCATAGAGATAAACCTTTGAAAGCACATTGGCGGCTATTAAAAATATTCTGGATGTAAAGTGACATTATTTTCCTGTTAATACTTTTATACTTGTTGTATTAGTATTCTGTTTAATAAAAAGGACCCCATATAAAAATAGCAAAAGGGCCAAAGACTGGTCAGCTGAACCACATTTGTTACCTTTTTTTCTTTTTTCCAGACAGGGTCTTGCTCTGTTGTCCAGGGTGCAGTGCGGTGGCCCAATCTTGGCTGATGCAACATGCCCCTCCTGGGCTTAAGCTATCCTCCCACCTCAGCCTCCTGAGTAGCTGGGACTATAGGTGTACACCAACATGCTTGGCTAATTTTTGTATTTTTTCTTTGTAGATGTAGGGTTTTGCCATGTTACCCAGGCTGGTCTCCAATTTCTGAGTTCAAGTGATATACTTACCTTGGCTTCCCAAAGTGCTTAGATTACAGGTGTGAGCCACTGCACCCGGCCTATACTAGCTTTTGAATTCCTGGCAAAAATATAAAGTGACAGGATCAATTTATCTGACTTTTTCTCTTTTTTATATTAAGCCCTCCATCAAGTAGAAATTGAGCTCTTTCATGCAGGGTATGATGCTTCATGCTTGCAATCCTAGCTCTTTGGGAGGCCTAGGCGAGGGTATCAGTTGGAGTTCAAGTGAGCTGTGATTCGTCACTGCACGTTTAGCCTGGGCAATAGGGTGCGACCCTGTTTCTGGGGTCGGGAAAATTCGAGCTCTTTCAAAGTGTGCTGGGGTTTTATGCTGAGGATATAGTAGTGCACAATATCAATATGGTCCTTACAACTACAGAACTATAGAACTAAGATTCTAGAGGGAATGACAGGTGGAAAACAAGGAAACAGACAAATGAATAAATAACCGCTGGCTGTAATGAGAGCCATAAATGAAGCACTCAGGACTGAGGCAGAATCACTATTGAGGGGAACTTGCTTTAAGTAGTGGTCAGCCTTAGTGAGAGCTTGTTTAAGGAATTGACATTAAGCTGACACCTAAAACCTCAAGGAAGAAACAGAGGTAGTGAAACAAAGTCTGAGAAGGTAGCCTGGACAATTTGTACTAAGCCCTGAGGTAGGAAGTGGCCTGTTGGAGAACCTGGCAGAAGAGGTTAGCACGGAGGTGGAAGGGGAGTGGTAATTCGATTTTTACTGTAGGCTCAGTGGAAAGCCGTTAAAGGTTTTTAAACTGGGAAATTGTGTAACTGGATTTACATTGTAAGATTACACACAAGTGTTGGGTAAGTAGATGAACCTGTGGGTCTGGAGCTAAGATAATGTGTTGGAGGTATTTTGGTAGTATCAGCATAAAGATAGCGCAAAGGAAAGAGGAAGGAGGAAGAGGATAGAGAGAAGACAACTGATGTCTGAGTGATAGGAAGCTTCAGCATTTAGAGGTCCGGTAGAGGAAGGGGAGCCAACCAATCCAACCAGGAGAGAAGGATCACCGACGTCAGAAGAAAACCTGGAGAGTGGTGTCACAAAAGCCAAGAGAGGCTAGCATTTCAAGGAGGAAGTGGCCATGCGTGTGGAATGCTGCCAAGAGGGTAGAGTAAAATGAGGACAGAGAAGTAGCTCTTGGATGTGGCTACATGAAAGTGGACTCTTTTGCCAAAGTGGTTTCAGTGG